ATTTTCTTCCAAAACAGGCCTGTTTCATCACAATTAAACACTTGTTCAGGTTTCAGTCCTTCAGCCTCTATGTACTCCTTGAATTCATGCACATATTTTTCAGCCGCTTTGTGGTCCGAACTGGCAGCCTCACCATGCCTTATCACACTATGTATGCCACTACGCTTCTTAAATCTCTCAAACCAACCTTTGCTGGCCTTAAGGAGTGCCTCCGGCAAATTTCCGCGCGCGCTCACCGAAATATCGGAAAAATATGGATAGTGAGTTATATATACTGAAAAATAGCTCAACTCTTTGGCAACACAATGGTACCAGAATGAATGTTCTACGACGTTTCTACAAGAAATTACAGTCATTTATATGAGGTAAGGTGACGGTGATATTGGTAGCGAGTCTGCTCACAGCCCATATATATTTTGGAAATTTTTCCTTGTTTTTTATCGCTTTTTCTTGCATTATACTTTCTAATATAATAACTGAGTACTTGGCATCATAAAACTGAAGGCGGAGCTTATCCCTAGATTGAGCAACAGTCATTAATCATATCATAATGCGCGGAAGGGTTGCCGCGCCAGGAGAAATCACTTCATTATTACGCTTATATCAGCTTATATATCAACTCTACAGCTTATTTATCTATCAGAATTGTTCTAATATGATATAATAAACACTCTAAATAACATACAAACATGTTATATACTCTAGACTGAAAAAAATAGACCATAATATGGCGAAAGATTATCGGGAATATTTCGATAAATATTGAGTTACTGCTCTCCATGTCGTCTCCGTGTCGTATTCTTTGGTCTCTGAGTAAGAGAAAACGGTGTTTTGAAGAGGATAACTGCACTAGAACATCAGTTTACTAAGAAATACACCCAAACAAACGCGATTTTCGCGAAAAAAAACTTTTTTTTTTGAGACGGTGGGCCGGCCGGCGTTCTAGGCCTATATCTCGGAAGTAACTTATTCCTCAACAGTTGCTATTTCTGCATTTATTACTTAATTAAATGGAATAATATTCACAGAAATTGTAGAATAATGGTTTCTCTAATTTTGTTAAAGGTAATTTTGGAAATATTCAAATACTTTCGGAGTTATGTGGGAGTAAAGGGCAGATTTTTTGCAGTATTCCAGGAACTAAAAAAAATTTTTTTTTTTTTTATAAAGATACGTTATTTAGAGAAAAGGCGTTGCCTAAAATTAGTTTAAGCATTGCTCTCTCGGCACCAAGTGTCCAAACAACCTTACGATGTCCCATATAGGAATGATTTTTGAGACAAGGACATTTTTCAGAAAATCAGTCTTTTTCAGTCTTTTCTCAGTTGTCGTTTGAGGTATATTTTTGATAAATATTTTCAAGAATGAGTGAAAACACTTTGTCTTGTGCACCAAAACTGGAGGAAATCGGACGGTAAACAAAAAAGCTACATTTTTTTGCCGGAGGCACTCCTTAAATTCACTCACATCATCACTAGTTGCAGGCATTTTTTTAATTAAATCCTCATGCAACTTCCTAGCCTTTTCGCTTATGATCGCTTGAGAGACGCTATCTCCTGCTAGCTGTTTTTCATTTATCCACTCCAATAAGAGTCTCTCAACATCTTCCATCACTTGTGATCTTTGTTTCGAAAACACAGTTAAACCTTTGGCAAGAACAGCTTCCTTGATTGCCTTTCTGGTGCCCACAATAGTAGCGATGGTTGATTGGGGTTTCTTGTACAACCTGGCCAGGTCGGCGATACGCACTCCACTTTCATACTTATCAATGATCTCTTTCTTCATCTCTATTGGAATTCTCACCCTTATTGCTGTAGGGTTGGCACTAGAAGCTTTCTTGGGGCCCATGGTCACTTATTTTCCAGAAAAAGCACCGAAAACACTGTAATAATACGAAATATTCCGATTGTATGCTTGGATGTTACCGCGGAGGCTGGCTGGTAAACAATGCCACCGGCGACACATGTGAGGCTGGCTGAGGGCGCACATTGGACGCGTCTCGGACGAACAGCGGTGAGCGGGTTTTTAAGCGGTATGCGAGGCAAAATTTTAGTGATAAAATGTATCGGTATGCGGATTAAACGTTATGTGATGCCAACGGTATGCGGGGGTCCACTGTATTCCAAAAAAAGAATCATCACATTTTCAAACACACTTTGTTTTATATTGTCAGTGAAAATCATTTCAATACAATCATTAATAATGGTGTACTTTAGCGAAATATGTGAAAAAGTTACTTCCGAGATATAGGCCTAGAAAACGTTGGCAGGCCTACCGTCTCAAAAAAAATTTTTTTTGCGCGGAAATCGGGTTTTTTTTGGTGTATTTCTTAGTAAACTGATGTTCTAGTGCAGTTATCCTCTTCAAAACACCGTTTTCTATCACTCACATACCAAACAATAGAACAAGGAGATGAGGAGTAACACATTTATATCGAAATATTGCTGGTGGACTCTCGCTATATTATGGCCTATTTTATTCAGTCTAGAGTATATAACATGTTTGTTTGTTATTTATAGTGTTTATTATATATTAGATCAATTCTGATAGATAAATAAGCCGTATAGTTGATATATAAGCTGATATAAACGTAATAATGAAGTGATTTCACCTGGCACCATCTGGAGGGGGAGCATTGCCGAGTGTACCCAGGTGCTTCCTGATAGGCTAGACGTCTATTGATAAGCTCCACTTACTCTTATATGATGCCAAATAATCAATTATTATATTAGAAAGAATAATGCAAAGAAAAAGCAATAAAAAACAAGGAAAAAATTCCAAAAAATACATGGGTTGAGAACAGACGCGCTACCTACATCGTCGTTACCATACCTGATATAAATGACTATAATTTCTTGTAGAAACGTCTTAGAACATTGATTCTTGTACCATTGTGTTGCCAAAGAGTTAAGCTATTTTTCGGTATATATAACTCAGTTTCCATAATTTTTCGATTTTTGGTTGAGCGCGCGCGGAAAATTGCCCAGAGTCTACCCTTAAACTCCTGTACAAACTTCTCAGCTGCAATTTTGTCAGAACTGGCAGCCTCACCATGCCTTATCACACTGTGAATGCCACTACGCTTCTTAAATCTCTCAAACCAACCTTTGCTGGCCTTAAAATTACAAGCATCACCACTTGTTGCAAGCATTTTCTTTACGAGATCGTCATGCAATTGCCTTGCCTTTTCACATATTATCGACTGCGTAACACTATCTCCTGCTAACTGTTTTCCGGTAATCCACAACAACAATAACCTCTCCACTTTTTCGAGGATTTATGATCTCCTTTTTGTCAGCATGTCTACCCCTTTTGCAACAACACACTTTATTTCCTTTCCTTTCACCACGATCGAAGTGATGGTTGAATGGGGTTTGCCATACATCCTGGCAAGCTCTGTAACACGCACTCCACTCTCATATTTTTCAATGATTTCCTTCTTGAATTCAATCTTGTCCCTCACTTTCTTTACCAAAGGGCTTGCACTAGCTTTCCTTGGGCCCATGGTGACTTATTTAGCAGTTGCAATCACAAAAAACAATGGATTATTATGTATGAACCCGCAGGGTGATGGTCACGTGTTGGTAAACAATGGCACACTGAGCGTGAATGGCATGGGAGACTGGCTTTGTGTGCGCGGTGACGGGTGGATGGGTACCGGACAGTCGCCGAATCACGAGTCTAATCACAAACCGTGAGGCCAGATTTTGCCGAAAAACTTGCCAAAAGTCGGATTTCACAAAAGTTGATGCCACCGAAACTCGAGGGTCCACTGTATTTGCAATGTCTTGGTCTCATTTCATGGAATGGAAGACATCTTACAGAAATAGAGGTGATTTTGATTGGTTTTAGTACTGGAAATGGCTTGAAACTGAGCTCAAAGTAGCGGAAATGTTAAATTTTTGCCGATGTTCAAGAGTAAACAAATGACCTCATACGTCTAATACACACCTGCTGGTGGGTCTGATATACGTTCACAAATGTGGTGATATTATTTATACAATTATTACAATATTGCATAACAGTAAATCTTCTATTTTTTGGTTTGAATAAATCAAAATGGAATTCATTAGTAAAGCCTGAAAATGTAACTAATGAACAGAGGAAATGTTAGTTTAGTGCCAGGAATGCCTGCATTGTTTATTCTGAACCCTATTTTGAAATTGGAGTATTTTGAACTTTGCATTAAATTGGCCAAATTACTAATTTCCGATAACTTTATTTTGTAGCCGAAACAGTTGACTTGGCGAATTCTTGTGCTCAGTCGATAGAATAGAAGTAATACTAGTGAAATAGCTAAGAATTTGGTCGACTGGAATAATGTAATTGGCCTAAAATGGGAGTGAAAGTCCGCAAAATCGCCGATGCATAAATATCGCTGACACATCAAAATTCACGAGAGCATAATTTCGTCAATTTTCCATCAAATTTCGTACTTTTTGTTTTATTACCTTCAGAAAAAGATTCTCTACCATTTCATAAAAAAAAATTATTTTTTGAAAATTCTTGGACACTGGTGCACACTTTGAAATTTGGCCTCTTCTTGCCATGCTATTTGCTCTAGCTGGCCCTCAATTGAACTGTTGCTCCCACAAGGTACTAAGTGGTCCCAGATTTTTTTAATACTGTGCACACCGAGTGTTAAGACCCATTCTCTCGTGTCTAGGCGACTCAGGCCTATCGCCTCAATTTTTGAAGGAATGAAAAATAAAACATTCATCTACATTCAGCACGCTACGCGAGCAAATGTATATTTACATTTAGACAGTTTAAGGGTTAAGTAACACGTAAGCCTTATGATTACTTTTCCAGTACGCATTGCATAATCACTGACTTTGTTTTGTGCCTACTATTGTATGTACTAATACATTTATCTACATTATTTGTATGGCTCAGAGAAGTAACTATTATTATTATTATTATTATTATTAATATTATTATTATTATTTATTATTATGCTAAGAGTTTAGTGTTATTAATTGTGTGTGTTATTGTTATAGGTTAATAAGCACCAGTGTGGTTCTATACAGCAACTTGTCATCTACAACCACGAACTTTCCCGGAAGCATCTGGGAGTGGCGAGGCTGGTCTTTGAAGAGCCAGAGTCTGCGAGACATTGTGTCAAGAAGCTTAACAATGCTACTCTTATGGGGAAGGTTCTACAGGTCTTCCTGGATCCTTTTGGTATGATCTTTTTGTTATTCAGTTGAGCTTGTACATACTTCAGCTCAAGAATTAACTCTTGTGTTGTTACTGCAAACATTTCATTAGTAATTCTGTTCTCTGGAATGATTAATTTTTTCATTGTCTTAAAAAGAGAGAGAGAAGAGAGAGAGATAAGAGGGGGGGAAGGGGGGGAAAAAAGAGAGAGAGGGGGGGAAAGAGAGAGAGAGGGGGTGAAGAGAGAAAGAGAGTGAGTGAGTTAGAGAGCAACCAAACTGTAGTTAATACATTGGGTTGCATGCAGCTAGAAGTGACAACCTAATTGGTCAGTCATTGATCTACCCAGAGACCTGGTCTGGGACTAAGCCCTGGGGATGTTGACCCCAGGAAGCCTCCTTCAGGTATTCTTCAGCATCACTATAATAATGAGACGTTTCTTATTTGCAGTGTTAAGAGTGATAAGAGGTAAAATGTTGTCATGAAGTAGTGTGACTAGTAGAGTGCCACAGTTACTGGAGCTGGCACTCATGACTAGTAGAGTGCCACAGTTACTGGAGCTGGCACCCATGACTAGTAGAGTGCCACAGTTACTGGAGCTGGCACCCAGGACTAGTAGAGATGCCAAGTTACTGAGCTGGCCACCGACTAGTAGAGTGCCAAGTTATGAGCTGGCACCACAACTGTAAGTGGTACAGTTACTGAAGCTGGCACCCATGACTAGTAGGTGCACGTTACTGAAGTGGCACCATTGAGTTATGTCACAGAGGATGCACTAGTAGAGTGCCACACTTGCTGAAGCTGGCACCCATGACTAGTAGAGTGCCACACTTACTGAAGCTGGCACCCATGAGTATGTTCACAGAAGATGCACTAGTAGAGTGCCACATTTACTGAAACTGGCACAAATCACTAGTAGAGTGCCACAGTTACTGAAGCTGGCACCCATGACTAGTAGGGTGCCACAGATACTGAAGCTGGCACCCACGAGTATGTTCACAGAGGATGCACTAGTAGAGTGCCACAGTTACTGAAGCTGGCTCCCATGAGTATGTTTGAAGAGGATGCACTAGTAGAGTGCCACAGTTACTGATGCTGGCTCCCATGAGTATGTTCACAGAGGATGCACTAGTAGAGTGCCACAGTTACTGAAGCTGGCTCCCATGAGTAACTTTTCAGAGGATGCACTAGTAGAATGCCACAGTTACTGAAGCTGGATCCCATGAGTATGTTTGCAGAGGATGCACTAGTAGAGTGCCACAGTTACTGAAGCTGGATCCCATGAGTATGTTCACAGAGGATGCACTAGTAGAGTGCCACAGTTACTGAAGCTGGATCCCATGAGTATGTTTGCAGAGGATGCACTAGTAGAATGCCACAGGGACTGAAGCTGGCTCCCATGAGTATGTTCACAGATGATGCACTAGTAGTGTGCCACAGGTAGTGAAACTGGCTCCCATGAGTATGTTCACAGAGGATGCACTAGTAGAGTGCCACAGTTACTGAAGCTGGATCCCATGAGTATGTTTGCAGAGGATGCACTAGTAGAATGCCACAGGGACTGAAGCTGGCTCCCATGAGTATGTTCACAGATGATGCACTAGTAGTGTGCCACAGGTAGTGAAACTGGCTCCCATGAGTATGTTCACAGAGGATGCACTAGTAGAGTGCCACAGGGACTGAAGCTGACTCCCATAAATATGTTTGCAGAGGATGCACTAGTAGGGTGCCACAGGTGGTGAAGGTGGCTCCCATGAGTATTTTTGCAGAGGATGCACTAGTAGGGTGCCACAGAGACTGAAGCTGGCTCTCATGAGTATGTCCATAGAGGATGCACTAGTAGGGTAGTGCAGTGACTGAAGCTGGCTCCCTTCAGTATGTTCACAGAGGATACACTAGTATAGTGCCACAGTTACTGAAGCTAGTTCCCATGAGTATGATTGCAGAGGATGCACTGGTAGAGTGCCATAGGGACTGAAGGTGGCTCCCATGAGTATGTTTGCAGCAGAGGATGCACTAGTAGAGTGCCACAGTGACTGGAGCTGGCTCCCATGAGTATGTTTGCAGAGGATACACTAGTAAAGTGCCACAGTGACTGGAGCTGGCTCCCATGAGTATGTTTGCAGAGGATACACTAGTAAAGTGCCACAGTGACTGGAGCTGGCTCCCATGAGTGTTTGCACAGGATGCACTAATAGAATGCCACAGGGACTGGAGCTGGCTCCCATGAGTATGTTCACAGTGGATGCACTAGTAGGGTGCCACAGGGACTGTAGCTGGCTCCCATGAGTCTGTTCACAGAGGATGCACTGGTAGGGTGCCACAGGGACTGGAGCTGGCTTTCATTAGTATGTTCGCAAAGGATGCACTGATAGTGCCACAGGGATTGGAGCTGGCTCCCATGAGTATATTCACAGAGGATGCACTAGTAGGGTGCCACAGAGACTGAACCTGGCTCCCATGAATATGTTCACAGAGGATGCACTAGTAGGGTGCCACAGGGACTGGAGCTGGCTCCCATGAGTATATTTGCAGAGGATGCACCAGTAGGGTGCCACAGGGATTGAAGCTGGCTCCCATGAGTATGTTTGCAGAGGATGCACTAGTAGGGTGCCACAGGGACTGAACCTGGCTCCCATGAGTATGTTTGCAGAGGGTGCACTAGTTAGGTACCACAGGGACTGAAGCTGGCTTCGAAGAGTATATTCGCAGAGGATGCATTAGTAGGGTGCCACAGGGACTGGAGCTGGCTCCTGTGATTATGTTTGCATAACATAATCATGGCTTCAGTGCCACAAGGACTGAAGCTCACTGCCATGAGTATATTTGTAGAGGATTTAGTAGTAGAGTGCCACTGGAGCTGAAGCTGGCTCCCATGAGTATGTTTGCAGAGGATACACTGGTAGGGTGCCACAGGGACTGAAGCTGCCTCCCATGAGTATGTTTGCAGAGGATACACTAGTAGGGTGCCACAGGAACTGAAGCTGTCTCCCATGAGTATGTTCACAGAGGATGCACTAGTAGAGTGCCACAGGGACTGAAGCTGGCTCCCATGAGTATGTTTGTAGAGGATGCACTAGTAGAGTGCCACAGGGACTGAAGCTGGCTCCCATGAGTATGTTGACAGAGAATGCACTAGTAGGGTGCCACAGGAATTGAAGCTGGCTCCCATGAGTATGTTGACAGAGAATGCACTAGTAGGGTGCCACAGGGACTGAAGCTGTCTCCCATGAGTATGTTCACAGAGGATGCACTAGTAGAGTGCCACAGGGACTGAAGCTGGCTCTCATGAGTATGTTCACAGAGGATGCACTAGTATACTGCCACAGGGACTGAAGCTGGCTCCCCTGAGTATGTTCACAGAGGATTCACTTGTAGAGTGCCTCAGTGACTGATGCTGGCTCCCATGAGTATGTTCCCAGAGAATGCACTAGTAGGGTGCCACAGGAACTGAAGCTGGCACCTGTGAGTATGTTTGCAGAGGATGCACTAGTAGAGTGCCACAGGGACTGGAGCTGGCTCCCATGTGTATGTTTGCAGAGGATGTAAAAATTTCTTGCTAGATAAACATTAAAAATGAGTGAATCCTTACAGAGAGACCTGGACAAATTGAACAAGTGGTGTTGAAATTGAATTAATCACATAAACTATTATGCATGAAATAATGAGTATATAAAAATGATCATAAAAATTCGTTAATGCTAAGCAGCGCTAGGCTAAGATAATGCAGGCGATGGTGTTGATGGTGTTTGGGTGGTATCAGTAGGCAAATTCATCTGTTTACCATCAAACCACCCAGTAATAATATCTTTACTCACCTCAAACTTTCCTGATATTAACCCTTTCAGGGTTGGTGCCGTACTAGTACAGCTTGCGCGCTAGAGTTGGTGCCGTACTAGTACGCATAAATTCTAGCGGCTTCAAATTAAGCAGGAAACAGCTTGTAGGCCTAGGTGTGAGAGAATGGATCTGCATGGTCAGTGTACGCAGTAGGAAAAATTCTGGGACCCAGTGGTGCATTGTGGGAACGCCATTTTAGTACACCTTGCTCACCATGCCTCGCAGTAAGAAACTCCTCACTCCTCAGTGAATTGGGACACTTTTGTTCCCCAGTGACAGTTCTAATACAGATGGAAGTGACAGTGAAGAGGAGTTTCAAGGCTTTGATAAGGTTGTGACCAAAAGTAATGACCATAATACTGGTAATAGTGAGGAAAGCCCAGATGACCCTCAGCCTTCCACTTCTGGTGTTGGGCCGTCTTGTTCACGTTCAGAAAGAGGAAACTCTTATTTTCCTATATCCAGGACTCAGATGTGAGCAATGGTGATGATAGTGATAGTGAATATGACCTACAAGCTCTTGAAAACAGTTCCAGTAGTGATAGTGAAGTGGAATATTTTCCATTGAAGCGTTAGTATATATGACGGTATATGCACTCTGGTAGTGTGTCATATGCTATTCCAAGGGGAAGGAGTACATCCCGTGGCTGTACAACAGGAACAGATAGTGAAAATGAAGATGATAGTGTTACAGTTGGGGTGGAAAATGTGCATGCATCTGGTGGTGGTAGTGGCGGTGCCAGCCGTGAGGCACCAGCAGTGGGCCATGCTGCCACCCATGCCACTGCCTCAGCTGATCTACAACAAAGGCCACCATCCTCCACCCACCCACCACACCAGCCTTCACAATCACAACCTCCACAACCACCTGTCAATATCCAGTACCCACCAGCAGACATTTCCAGAAAGTCGGCCTAAATTCGAAGCAGTATATCCCTTAACCGTCCAAACGTAGATCTGCGTTCACATGCGTAGAGCTCCGAACATAGATCTAAGTTTTTTTTTTTTTTTTACATTCTTTCAAATGGAGAAAAATAAAGGTTGGAGTGCTACGCATGTAAACGTAGATCTACGTTTGGACAGTTTGAGGGTTAAGAATTAATGTAAATACAATTAATCCGTTCCAGACACCCAAAAATAATAAAAAAGATACATTTTGTAAAGTTTAACTGTAGTTTTACATACACAAAACTGACAATTACATATAAATGAACATTTAAATCATTATTACTTACCTGTGTCGAAGACTTTTGTTGGCGTATGAAAGACAGGGAGGAGGGGAGAGGAAAGAGGAGAGATTATTGGTTGGAAGGGGAATCCCTCTAAATAAGGACTTTAAGTATCAATTCCCTCTCTTAGGTTACTTCCCTTCATTGTCTTTTAATGCACCCCTGTCGCACAAAAAAACTGTCCGGAGAGGTCTGTTTCTGGCGCCTCTAAAAGATTTGCCTGAAGTGGGCCAAGGATTTGTCACTGAACATGTTGCAGATATGGCTTGCTTCAGCTTGGTCAGGGTGATATTTCTCAGCAAAAGCTTGCACCCTACTCCACAATGCACAAATCTCCTTAATCTCTGAAGAGGGCACCTCTTTCCCTCTCTCTTCCTCCTCCTCTGTAACAAGTTCCTTAGCTGTGGTCTGTTACTGTTCCAGTTGAAAGTGTTGAAGCTTTTCAGTGGTTAGCTCTTCCCTGTAGTCCTCCACCAACTTTTCCACATCCTTGCCACTCACATCCAACCCCATGGACTTCCCCAAAGACACAGTAGATTCCACAACAGGCGTAGGGTTGTCAGGGTCAGCCTCAAACCCTTCAAAATCCGTCTGGAGGACACATTCTGGCCACAATTTTCTCCGAAACGAGTTCAAAATCCTGGAAGTCGCTCCCTGCCAAGCCTTACCTATAAGGCTTATGCAGTTGTAGTTACTGAAGTGATTCCTCCAGAAATCTCTTAGGGTCAATTCAGTGTCCGAGGCCACTTCAAAGCACCTTTGAAACACTGCTTTTGTGTAGAGTTTTATAAAGTTAGAAATGACCTGCTGGTCCATAGGCTGGATGAGAGGAGTGGTGTTAGGAGGCAGTAACTTCACTGTTATAAAACTGAAATCCCTAGACAATTGGTCTGCCAAGTTTGGAGGATGAGCAGGAGCATTGTCCATTACCAGAAGCCACTTGAGTGGCAATTTATTTTCCTGGGGGTATTTTTTCACACCTGGGCCAAACACTTCATAGTCCTAGTCAATGAAAATTTGCCTTGTGACCCATGCCTTATTGTTAGCCATCCACATCACACATAATCTACTCTTGACGACATTATTTTTCTTGAACACTGGGGTTTTCTGAGTGATAATACCAATAAAGGCTTCACTTTAAAATCCCTACTAGCATTAGCACAGAACAAAAGAGTTAGCCTATCCTTCATAGGTTTGTGTCTTGGCAGTACCTTTTCCTCCTCCGTGATGCAGGTCCTCTTTGGCATTTTCTTCCATAAGAGGCCCGTTTCGTCACAGTTGAACACTTGTTGGGGTTGGAATTCTTCAGTCTCTATGTACCCCTTGAATTCCTGCACAACTTTTTCAGCCGTATGTTTGTCTGAACTTGCAGCTTCACCATGCCTTACAGCACTGTGTATGCCACTATGCTTCTTAAATCTGTCAGCCCAGCCTCTGCTGGCCTTAAAGTCACTAACAGCAGCACTAGTTCCAGGCATTTTCTTTACGAGATCCACATGCCTTGCCTTTTCACAAATGATCGTCTCTGAAACACTATCTCCTGATAACTGTTTTTCACTGATCCACAACAAAAACAACTTCTCCACATCTTTCATTGTTTGTGATCTCTTTGTCGGTAATATGTTTACCCCTTTTGCCACATCAGCTTCCTTGATTTGTTCTTTCTTTGCCAGGATAGAAGTGATGATTTGGATTTCCCATACATCCTGGCAAGTTCTAGCACTCAAACACCACTCTCATATTTTTCAATAACTTCTTTCTTAAATTCCATCATGTTTCTCACTTTCTTTACCAAATGGCTGACACTCTGAACTTTCTTTAGGCCCATGGTGGCTTATTTCATAGTTACACTTAATAAACAAGCACAAAAACCAATGGATTTTATGGTAATGTTTGGATGAATGCACGGAGTATATGCTCATTCACCGAGAGACAGACTGACTCACCTCCGCAGTGGTATCCCGGTCGGAGGTGGGCTGACGCGTATAGTACAGCCAATTTACAAGGCGCCGGCCGAAATACGGAGCAAAATTTTGGCCCAAACACTGGCCTAAATACGAATCAGCCAATAAACACAGTGGCCGATATTCGGGGTTCCACTGTATTGTTAAATTTAAAACTGTATTATATTGAAACCCTAGGTAGTAGGTTGGTAGACAGCAACCACCCATGGAGGTACCAGCTGAATGTGAAACAGAAACCTGCAATTGTTTTACATGATGGTAGGATTGCTGGTGTCTTTTTTTTCTGTCTCATAAACACGTGGGATAACAGGTATATGTTGCCATTTCTGCTTATACTGTACTTAGGTCACACTACACTTGCATGTACAAGCATACACACCCATCTGGGTTTTCATTTATTTTCTTAACCCTTTCAGGGTCCAGAGGCCAAATTTCAAAGTGTGCACCAGGGCCCATGAATTTTCAAAAAATATTTTGTTATTTTTTCTTAGGAAATGGTAGAGAATCTTTTTCTGAAGGTAATAAAACAAAAAGTACGAAATTTAATGGAAAATTGACGAAATTATGCTCTTGCGAATTTTGATGTGTTGGCGATATTTACGCATCAGCGATTTTGCCGACTTTGACTCCCATTTTAGGGCAATTACAGTATTCCAGTCAACTAAATTCTTAGCTATTTCACTAGTATTACTTCTATTCTATCAGTTGAGCACAAGAAATCACCAAGTCGACTGTTTCAACAACAAAATTGAACATCGGCAAAAATTTAACATTTCTGCTACTTTGAGCTCAGTTTCAAGCCATTTCCAGTACTTAAACCAATTAAAATCATCTCTATTTCTATAATATATCTTCCATTCTATCAAATGAAACCAAGAAATCACAAATACAACTATAAGAAACATAAAAAACACTGCAAAGTCGCTGTTTTAATAAAAAATTATGGTCTCGGTTTTTTCTCATTATGCATTGTGGGCTGCAGGAGTTGTTTTATGTGGTGCACACATACCACATAGATGTATTCTCTCATATCTAGGCCAAAATTTACTGCTCCAAGCTTATCAGAGTGAGCTGAGCTCATGGCGCAGATCTACGGTTTGGACCCTGAACATAAAGCCATAGATCTATGGCACAGACCTTGAAAGGGTTAATAGTTCTTGTTCTTCTTTATTTCCTGCTATCTCCATGAGGGAAGTAGTAAAGAATTCTTCCTCAATAAGCCATGCGTGTCATAAGAGGTGACCAAAATGCTGAAAGCAAGGAGCTAGTAACCACTTCTGCTGTATAAATTACCAAATTTTAAAAGAGAAACTTGCGATTTTCCTTTTAGGTCACCTTGCCTCGGTAGGATAATGACTGGTTTGTTGAAAAAAAAAAAATTCTATCAAAACCTGTACTTTTCAGAACCATTCTATGCAAGGTATTTCTGTATTCTTGATTACTCAGTATATAATAATTTTTGCTGGTCCTACCCACAGCAAGGAATTAACCCTATCGGGGTCAGCCACGTAATATTTTGGCTCTGAAGCCCGGGTTTGTCCCGTAATACTACGCCAAAATTCTAGCGGCTTCCAGTATTGTGGGAGAAAGCTAGTAGACTTACATATGAGAGAATGGGTCTTTGTGGTCAGTGTGTGCAGTAAAAGAAAATCCTGCAGCACGCTGCAGGATTTAGTGTATGATAAGAAAAAAAACTGTTTTTGGTGTAAAACAGCAAATTTGATGTGTATTTTCATATGGTTTTTATGGTTGTGTTCGTAGTTTCTTGGTCTCATTTGATAGAATGGAAGGTATGTTACAGAAATAGACATAATTATGAATGGTTTACAGACAAAAAGTAGCTTGAAATTGAGCTCAAGGTAGTGGAAATGTTAGATTTTTCATGATGTTCAAGAGTAAACAAAATATGTCATGGATCCAATACATGTCAACTGGCTAGTCTAATATGCACTCACAAATGCACTGACATTTTTTATACAATAATTACCATTATGCAGTATTCTGAGTAACAGTAAATCTTCTATTTTTTATGTGAATAAAAATTCAAAATGAAAAGCAAGCGCAATATGAAAGGGGCCTGGAGACGTGACTAATGAACAGAGAAAATGTTATTTTAGTGCCAGGAATGTCTGCATTATTTATTCTGGGCTCTATTTTGAAATTGGCCTTTCTTGAATTTTGTGAAATTGGCCAAATTAGTAATTTCTGATCACTTTATTGGGTAGTTGAAATAGGTAAATGGGCAGTTTCTTGTGCTCATTCAGTAAAATAGGAGGAGTTCTAGCTAAACAGCTATGGGTTTTGTCGACTGGAACAGTGGAATTGGCTCAAAATAGGACTCAAAGTAGGCGAAATCGCTGATGCATAAATGCCGCCATCGTCATAAGAACTCTTAACTACTCTAAGTAACCTACCACCTGTTTCATACATTTGCAACATCTGCCTTATTTCTCCCCAATCCACACTACCATATGCCTTTTCTAAATCATTAAATACAACAAAAAACTTTCTCACACTTTAATATTTTTCACTTACATGCCTCAATGTAAACATTATTATTCTTATTAGTAATTGCACTTACACCACATACCGCAGGGGAAGAGTGTAAAAAGCGTGTTGGAGAAGTTGGAAAATTGTTGGAGGAAGAGGCAAAGAGAGATGAAGAGGCCAAAGAAGCCAAGAAAAGACCGCCTCCACCACCACCACCACCACCAGTCAAACCACCACCTCCTCCTGCAGAGGAAGACACTCAGTCCAGCAGAGAAAAGAGAAAGACGTAACACTGAGAAAGAGTTTGACCGTAATAGGTAAGAAGATTTATGAATGTGTTAATACTGTACAGTGCTCTTATTGTCAGATCTAGAAACAACATGTAAAGTGGAGTTTGTCAGTCTTTCACAGGTGCACACAAATTAATTCAGTAAAAGTTCTATTTTACTATTCAAGGCCATGATATTATCCTAATCAAATATTGTACTGGCATACCTCATAAATATGGTGCTGTCTTTACATTGTTTTGTTAATATGGTGTTTTACAGTTTTTTTTTTTCTTTTTTTCAACAAGTCCACCGAGGCAGCAGGGTGACCCAAAAAAGAAAGAAAATCCCCAAAATTAAAATACTTTCAACATCATTCAACACTTTCACCTCACTCACACATAATCACTGTTTTTGCAGAGGTGCTCAGAATACAACAGTTTAGAAGCATATACATATAAAGATACACAACATATCCCTCCAAACTGCCAATATCCCAGACCCCTCCTTTAAAGTGCAGGCATTGTACTTCCCATTTCCAGGACTCAAGAATGGCTATTTAAAAATAACCGGTTTCCCTGAATCCCTTCGCTAAATATTACCCTGCTCACACTCCAACAGCTTGTCAGGTCCCAATACCATTCGTCTCCATTCACTCCTATCTAACACGCTCACGCACGCTTGCTGGAAGTCCAAGCCCCTCACCCACAAAACCTCCTTTACCCCTTCCCTCCATTCTTTTCGAGGATGGCCCCTACCCCGCCTTCCTTCCCCTACAGATTTATATGCTCTCCATGTCATTCTACTTTGATCCATTCTCTCTAAATGACCAAACCACCTGAACAACCTCTCTTCAGCCCTCTGACTAATACTTTTATTAACTCCACGCCTCCTAATTTCCACACTCCGAATTTTCTGCATAATATTCACACCACACATTGCCCTCCAACAGGACATCTCCACTGCCTCCAGCCGCGTCCTCACTGCGGCATTTACAACCCAAGCTTCGCAACCATATAAGAGTGTTGGTACTACTATACTTACATTCCCTTCTTTGCCTCCATAGGTAACGTTTTTTGTCTCCACATATACCTCAATGCACCACTCGCCATTTTTCCTTCATCAATTCTATGATTAACCTCATCCTTCATAAATCCATCCGCTGACACGTCAACTCCCAAATACACCTACCATCCGACTTATGACCTGCTCGACATACATCCACTCGACTTCTTACAACCGTGCATCTGGCAGCTGGGCTGGGCCGGCTGATGCACACCTCTGTACAATATTTGACAATACTCACAGCGGAAATGCGTCATGCAGGCAGCATCAGTTTGAGTAACCCTGCCCTATCAGCAGCATCATACTGTATTAACTGTACTAACTGGACAGTAAATTTCACCGTGGCCCCTAAGATGAAGTCTGAATCTTGCATTGGAGATTGTGGCAAGAAAGGCTCTTACTCAAACTCTCTATTTGTTTTCACTGTTGCACATAAACCTGTCTGTATCTGTCTGCCTGTATATCTGTGTATCTCTGTGTGTCTGTTTATCTGTCTTTCTACCTGTGTGTGTGTCTTTCTGTCTACCTGTGTCTGTCTTTCTGTCTACCTGTGTGTCTGTCTCTCTACCTGTGTGTCTGTCTTTATATCTACCTGTGTGTCTGACTTTGTCTACCTGTGTGTGTGTATCTGTCTACCTGTGTCTGTCTGTCTTTGTCTATCTGTGTCTATCTGTGTCTGTCTTTCTGTCTGCTTGTCTGTCTCAGAACCACTCATTAGGAGTGTAATTGGTCTTGAAGACACTATATTAATAATAATAACAATAATAATCTCTGAGGCGCATTAAATGTGTATAAAACGTTGATATAGACATTTTGGTTAATCCATCTATGATTTCTTTTTCAAAATTATATAATAAACATGCTACATAACATATAAACATATCAATTAACAAATATGAGATGTTTTTCTGGTCGGCTTGACAGAGTGAACAAAAACCATTCGTGTCTGGGCTGGCAACAACAACAACGTTTGTTTACATAACTCGCCAACCTTCTACAGACTCATTCGTTTATTCATTTAATCTTGTATATTCACCTCTCACTCTACATTAAGACTACAGATATTTTAAGGTAAGTAATGAGTGGACACGATTATTATATTATAGTTTAATAATACAGTGGACCCCCGGTTCGTGATGCTATCGGTATCCGATAAATCCGGTAACCGATGCATTATATCGCAGAAAATTTGCCTCGCTTCCCGATACAAAACCCGGTATGCGATGTGGTTCGTACGAGACGTGTCCATGTGTGGCCTGAACTGCCCCGTGTGTGCCAGTGTTTACAAGCCAGCCAGTGTGCGCGCATCTAAGGATACTTTCGGTACATTCCATATTATCCATATTATCACTGTTTTTGGTGCCTGTTTTTGCAAAATAAGTCACAATGGGCCCCAAGAAAGCTCTCAGTGCCAACCCTTCGAGACCAAGGGTGCTAATGACTGTTGAAATGAAGAAAGAGATAATTGCAAAGTATGAAAGTGGAGTGCGTGTGTCGGAGCTGGTCAGGTTGTATAGTAAACCCCAATCAAGGAAGCTGTTCTTGCAAAAGGTGCAACTGTGATTACGAAACAGCGACCGCAAGTGTTAGAAAATGTTGAGAGACTGTTATTGGTGTGGATAAATGAAAAACAGATAGCAGGAGATAGCATCTCTCAAGCAATCATTTGTGAAAAGGCTAGGCAGTTGCATGACGATTTGGTAAAAAAATTGCCTGCAACTAGTGGTGATGTGAGTGAGTTTAAGGCCAGCAAAGGTTGGTTTGAAAGATTTAAGAATAGTAGTGGTATACATAGTGTGATTAGGCATGGTGAGGCTGCCAGTTCAAACCACAAAGCGGCTGAAAAATATGTGCCTGAATTCAAGGAGTACATAGACGCTGAAGGATTGAAACCTGAACAAGTGTTTAACCCTTAAACGGTCCGAACTTATATATACGTCCACGCGCGTAGCGCCCCAAACGTATATATACGTTTTCTTTGTCATTCATTCAACATTGCCACATTAAGCCTGAGTCACCTAGACATGAGAGAATGGGTGTGCGCACTCACTGTGTGCCATATTAAAATAATTGGGGATGCCTGGATACCATATGCTCTTTTTTCCTTTTAAAAGAAAAGATTGTTTTTTTCCTCAAAAAAGTTGGGGCGCTACGCGAGTGAACGTATGTATATGTTTGGACCGTTTAAGGGTTAATTGTGACGAAACAGGCCTGTTTTGGAAGAAATTACCAAGCAGGACCTACATTACTCAGGAGGAAAAGGCACTCCCAGGACATAAGCCTATGAAAGACAGGCTTACTCTGTTGATGTGTTCCAATGCTAGTGGTGATTGCAAAGTGAAGCCTTTACTGGTGTATCACTCAGAAACTCCCAGAGTGTTCAGGCAAAAGAATGTCCTCAAGGCTAATTTGTGTGTGCTGTGGAGGGCAAACAGTAAGGCATGGGTCACTAGGGACTTTTTCTATGACTGGTTACACCATGCATTTGCCCCCAGTGTGAAAAATTACCTAATTGAAAAGGAATTAGACCTTAAGTGCCTCCTGGTATTAGACAATGCACCTGGTCATCCTACAGACGTGGCAGAGTGACTTTATGGGGACATGAGTTTCATTAAGGTGAAGTTTTTGCCTCCTAATACCACTCCTCTCCTGCAGCCCATGGACCAGCAGGTCATTTCCAACTTCAAGAAACTGTACACAAAAGCTATGTTTGAAAGGTGCTTTGAAGTGACCACAGAAACTCAATTGACTCTAAAGGAGTTTTGGAAGGATCACTTTACTATCCTCAATTGTGTAAAACTTATATGTAAGGCTTGGGAGGGAGTGACTAAGAGGATCTTGAACTCTGCCTGGAAAAGACTGTGGCCAGAATGTGTAGACAAAAGGGATTTCGAAGGGCTTGAGGCTAACCCTGAGAAGCCTATGCCAGTTGAGGAATCCATTGTGGCATTGGGGAAGTCCTTGGGGTTGGAGGTTAGTGGGGAGGATGTGGAAGACTTGGTGGAGGAGGACAATGAAGAACTAACCACTGATGAGCTGCTAGATCAAGTTCAACAGCAAGAGGCCAGACCTGAGGAAACTGCTTCGGAGGAGGGGAGAGAGAAATTGAAGAAGTTGCCTACTTCAAAGATTAAGGAAATCTGTGCAAAGTGGCTAGAAGTGCAAACCTTCATGGATGAAAATCACCCTCAGACAGCTATTGCAAGCCGTGCTGGTGACTATTACACTGACAATGTTGTGAACCACTTTAGGAAAGTCATAAAGGAACTAGAGGTACAGGCCTCTATGGACAGATATGTTGTGCGACAGAGGTCCAGTGACTCTCATCCTGGTCCTAGTGACATTAAAAGAAGAAGGGAAGTAACCCCGGAAAAGGACTCGCTACCTCAAGTCCTAATGGAGGGGGATTCCCCTTCTAAATGCTAACACCATCCACACACTCCCCTCCCATCCCATCAATCATCACCAGATCTTCATTAAAGGTAAGTGTCAATTATTCTTTCGTTATTTATTGTTATTTATTGTTATTGTTGTTATTGTAATTACTATTCTATTGCATTAAACTTAATATTTCATGTGGTAAATTTTTTTTTTTCATATTTTTGGGTGTCTTGCACAGATTAATTTGATTTCCATTATTTCTTATGGGAAAAATTGATTCGCTTTCCGATATTTTTGGTTTACGATGAGCTCTCAGGAACGGATAAGTATTGCGAACCGGGGGTCCACTGTATTATTATTATTAATATTAGTACATATGCATTATTGTAATAATAATAATTATTAATTTTTTTTTTTTTTTTTCAACAAGTCGGCCGTCTCCCACCGAGGCAGGGTGACCCAAAAAAAAAAAAATATTATTATTAATTTAGCTCACTGGAGCACAGATCCACTGTATAGCACTTTGTCTGGATTTTTTGGGTTATCCTAGGTAATTTATACTATGTATGATAACTTCACCTATGTGCACCCCTGAGAGAGAGAGT